GAACCTTTTCTCCACATCCTTGCCAACATTTTATTGTTACTTGTATTTTTGATTGTTGCCATTCTGACTGTAGTGAGATGGAATCTCAATGTAGTTTTAATTTGCATTTCTCTTAATTGCTAGAGATTTTAAACACTTTTTCATATAGTTTTTGACCATTTATATTTCTTCTTCTGTGAAATGCCTGTTCAGTTCCTTTGACCATTTATTGATTGGATTATCTAAGTTTTCTATCCAAAATAGATTGGTCATTCTTGTTAGTCACACACAGTATTTTCTGCAGGATTTTACTTGAAATTTTAACCTGAATTACTACTTTGTGATTCTCAACAAAAGCAGACCTGACATGGTTGATATTTGGAGAGTAAGGAACAATTATTCATCCTTTCTCAAGGTAGTATGTTTTGTTGGGTTAAGTTAGATACTCAGAATGCAGCATTCTCAGACAGGGTTTATTACCATCTCTAACTCACCAGGCATTTATCTTCCATGGTCTGCCTTCAGGGCATTTGTTGGTGAGCTGCAGAGTGTGTTGGGAGGCCGTCCTGAGCCCACTCTCCAGGGCCTCTGGCCTTTGTGTTGGACTCATTCAACTAACTGGTTTTAGAATTTCAGAATCTTTATTGGCTGTCCTAGGAATGGTAAAGATGGATGAAAGAGAAGACCAGCGGGCCAAGTAGGTGCTGGGAGGCATGGTGACTCAGAGCCTTTGACTTCTCACTGGGCTTATCAGGCTATTGAGTGCTTTTGTCTGTTGATATTTTTGACTCAGGTGGATTTGCTGGGAAGCAGCCTTCTTGCAAGTCCAGGGCCTCTGTTCCCAGGATGTCAGAAAAATTCCTGCTCCCACTTCTCTATCGAGCCCTGGACGTCCAGCTTAACCTAAGCAGAAGCCCTGGGCATGCGTGTTCTTTGAGCCCTTAACCTTCACCGTCACCACTCCTTCAAGTACCTCTCTTGATCTGGTACTGCCCTTGACTTCCCACAGCCACTTCACAGTCACCAGCTTCTATCCCAAGCCTGTTCACATGTACTTACTTTCTTCAAATGACCCTTAGTCATTTCTGTGTTTTGCATTATGCGAGGTCCAGAAATTTGTTAGGAATTGCCAATCTCTGAGTGTTCTGCAGCAGTCATTGCTATGAAGATTCAGGTACACCAGTGGGGACTTTCTGGAATCTTTTTTGTTCCTATAGATTGTATTATGGTTTTGTTTTATATTAATAAAATAGTGAAAAGGGGCTTAGGAAAAGCTGTTTCAGCTCTTCTTTAAAATGTTTATAAATACCTCCCCCGACAGTTTAGAGTGCCCTGACAGATGTCACATGATCATGAGGAACAGTAGAAACACCTCCTGTGCTGGGAAGGCAGAAGGAATTGTACTTCAGTCCTTCAACTGTGACCTAAAGTGGTGAGTGATACAAATGATCTCCTTTAAGAATTGTTTTCTGAATAGAGAAGGCAGCAAATCCATCCTTTGCTGTTGACTCCAATATATTACAACTAGTTTTCACTCTGTGTCTAATGTGCGACATGATAAAGGTATTCAGGCTAAGCATACTGCAATTTCTAGGTCCCAGGTACATATATGTGTGTATGTGTATTCACATATATAAATAAATACACATAAATTTATTTTTCATATTTATTATATTTTTGTATGTGTATATATACACACATATATTTGAGATGAGGTCTCATTATGTTACAGTTGGTCTCAGACTCAGGATCAAGCAATCCTCTTATTCAGCCTCCCAAGTAGCTTGGACTAAAGGCATATGCCACCATGCCTGGCTCCTCATTACCTTTATTAACATTTTTATTGTACATTCTGATTACATCAGAATTCACTCTTTTTTTTTTTGTAGCTCTAAGAGTTTGGAAAAATGCGTAATGTCATGTACCCATCACTGTGCAGCAGTCACAACTGTTCTGCTGCCTTATCCCCCCCAGCTGCCCACTAGAACCCTGGCAGCCCTGCCCTATGACTGTCTCGCAGTTGGCCCTTCAGGCATGTCATCGAGCGGGAACCGGGCAGCATGTCTGACTGGTTCCTCTTGGCAGCAGGCCTTGGCGTTCCTCAGAGTCTTCTCATGGTGGACCCCATTTCCCTTTATTGAAGGGCCTTTTGGTTGCTTCCAGTTTTGTGATCATGAATAAAGTGGCCTAACATTCTGTCCAGGTTTTTTATTAGGCCCAGGTTTTCAGCTTCTTTGGATGGATAATAGGGGCACGATGGTTGGTCATGTGGTGAGAATGGGTTTACTCCTGCAGGGAACCACCAACTGTCTTCCCTAGTGGCTGTGCTACCGTGCCTGAGATTCCTGCCGCTCCGCGTCTCACAGCCATTGATGGGGCAGGTCATTTAGACTTCAGCCATTGCTAATGGTTATGTAGGGATATTTTATTTTTGTTTCAGTTTACAACTTCCTAATGACATGTGAGATTGAACATCTTTCATATGCTCATTTTCCATTTGCAAAACTACCTCAGTGAGGTGTCCACTCAGATCTTTTGACCATTAAAAAAAAATAGTTTCTTTTTTGTTGTTGAGTGACAAGAATTCTTTGTATATTTTATTTATTATTTATTTTATTTTATTTTTTTAGTTGTAGATGGACACAATATCTTTATTCATTTATTTTTATGTGGTGCTGAGGATCGAACCCAGGGCCTCACAGCTGCAAGGCAAGTGCTCTACCATGAGTTACAGCCCCAGCTCCCTTTCTTTGTATATTTTATATGCAAGTCCATGATGAGATATGTGTGTTGCAAAGATTTTCTCTGTGACTTTTCTTTTTATTCTCTTCAAAGTGCCTTTCACAGCATAGAACTTTGGGTTTTTAACATAGTCCTATTTGTCATTTTATTTCTTTCATGGATTATTCTTTTGGTAATGTCATTCCCAAAACCAAAGTTAACTAGGTTTTCTTACATATTATCTTCTGGAAGTTTTACGGTTGTTCATCTCACAGTGAGATCTTTGATTTGTTGAATTACGCATTTTATGAAATGTGCTAAGATCTGTATATACCTGGGTGTAGTAGTGCATGCCTGGGATCCCAGCAGCTCAGGAGGCTGATTCAGGAGGATGGTGAGTTCAAAACCAGCCTCAGCAACAGCAAAGAGCTAAGCAACTCAGTGAGATGCTGTCTCTAGATAATATACAAAAGAGGGCTGGGGTTGCTGGGCTTGAGGCTCAGTGGTAGAGCGCTTGCCTAGCATGTGTGGGACCCTGGGTTCGATCCTCAGCACCACATAAAAATAAATAAATTAAATAAAGTTATGGTGTCCAACTACTACTAAAAATAGCCACCCCCTCAAAGGATCTGTATGTAGATTTTTTTTCTCCATGCAGAAGTCCTGCATTTCCAGCAGCATCTATGGGAAAGATTGTCCTTTCTTGATTGAATTGCCTTTATTTATTTATTTTTTTTTTGTCAAAAATCAGTTGATTATATTTGTGTGAGACTACTTCTGGGTCCTGTGTTCCGTTTCATTGTTTTATTCTTTTGTCAATACCCCTCATTGCCTTAATCACTACAGCTGCACAGTGAATCTTAAATTGGTGGTGCTGTCCTCCGACTTGGCTCTCCTCAGCATCGTGGAGCTCCTGGGGTCTTTGCCTCTCCATGTAAACTGCAGAGTAACTGGACTGCAGTACAACTTGTTGGGATTCTGTGTTGACTCTATAAATCAAGTTGGGAAGAACTGACATCTTAAAAACATGGAGTCTTCCTATCTACGGACATGGGATATTTTTCCATTTGTTTAGATGTTCTTTTATTTCTTTCATCAGAATGTTATAATTTTCCTCATATAGATCTTGTACATAATTTGTTAGACTTATACCTAAATATTTCGTTTTGGGGGGTTACTAATATAAATGGTATTCTGATTTTAGTTTAAAAATCCACTTATTTATTGATGATATATAGGAAAACAATTGACTTTTGTTTACTTACCTGTATCCAGCAACCTTGCTATAATTGCTTGTTGGTTCTAGGATTTTATTTTTGCTAAATAATCAGAATTTCTGCATAGGCAGTTAGTTGTGTCATCTGCAGACTAAGATGCCTGTCTTTCTTCCTTCCTGTCTACTTTTCTTCTCTTGTCTTACAGCTTTACCTAGGGCTTTCAGGATGAGCTGAATAGAAGTGGGGAGAGGGAACACTCTTGCTGTTCCTGATCTTACAGACAAAGCCTCTAGCTTTACACCATTAGACAAGGCTAGATGTAGGCTTTTTTTTTTTTTTTTTGGTGTTATTTGTCAATATTAGAGGATTCCCAATTATTTCTAGTTTGCTGAGTTTTTAAAAATCAAGAATGGGTGTTAAATTTCAAATTTTTCTTCATCTGTTGCTATGATCATGTGACTCTTTTTCTTTAGCTTATTTATATAGTAGATTAAATTAATTAGATTTTGAATATTGAATATGCCTTGTATATACAGGATAAACTCCACCTGGTTGTGGTGTATAATTCTTCTTATACATTATTGGATTCTATTTGCTATTGTTTTGTTGAGGAATTTATATCTATGTTCAGGAGAGAGATTAGTCTGAATTTTCCTTTCTTTATATTTTGTCTGATCTATGAGGTCAGGTGTTTTAGTCAGCTGTTACATCACTGTGACCAAAATATCTGAAAAGAACAACCTAGAGGAGGAGCAGTTTAGGTGGGGCTCATGGTCTCAGAGGTCTCAGTCCACGGAAGGCTGACTCCATTGCCGGGACCCAGGAGAGGCAGCTCATGGTGGGGGAGAGCCCAGCAGAAGAAAGCTGCTCAGCCCGTTGGGGGTCAGGGAGCAGAGAGAAGGGGCTGCAGGAAAGAGCCCCCTTCCAGGGCAGCCCCCTGGGACCCACCTCCTCCAGCCACACCCCAGCAACTCAGTCATTCCAACTAAGATGGACTGATTAGGTTACAGTTCCCACAGTCGGATCATGGCACCTCTGAATATTCCTGCACTGAAGAAGTTTGGGGTCACCTCAGATCCAAGCCATGATATTAGGTAATGTTGTCCTCATAGAATGAGTCAGGAAATTTCAGACTCTGTATTTTCTGGAAGAGATTGTAAACAATTGGTATCAATTCTTCTTTTAAGTGTTTGGTACAATTCACTAATGAAACCTCCTGGGCCTAGTACTTTATCTTTTGGAACTTATTAAAACTATTGGCTGAATATCTTTGATAACTATAGGTCTATTCCCTTCGTCTTTCCCTATCAGCCCCTCCCATCTAAGTCGTCAAGTTTGGGGGCATACAGTTGCTCATATATTCCTTTTCCATCTTTCCAATGCACAGGAGCTCAGTGCCCGCTTTCATTTCTGATTAGTAACTTGTTCTTCTGTCTTCTTTTCATGCAGATAGGTCTGTCAATTTTAGTTTTTCTGGAGCTTCTCTATGTATTTCTGTTTTCGATTTATATTTTTGCTCAATGTGTAGAATGTCTCTTCTTCTGCTTTTCCTCTGGTGTCCGGGTGGGAGCTGGCAGTGGCTCTGGTTGTGACTTTCTAGGGCCTGCATTCAGTGCTGCACATTTTTCTTCAAGCACTGCCTTTGCTGCATTTTATGTTTTCATTGCATTCAAAATATTTTTAAAAAATTCTTTTGTGGCTTCTTGTTTGACTCATGTCTTATTTCATTATGTTCTTTGATCTCCAAATATTTGAGAATTTTCCATCTGTTTCTATCAATGATTTCTAGTTAATTCCTTTGTAGTCCGAGAGGGTGCTTTGTATGGCTTCCACTCTTTCCAGGTGTGCAGGCATCTGTGAGGCCCAGAGTGTGGTATGTCTTGGTGAGTGTTTCATCTGAGTCGAGGAAGTGTTCTGCGGTTGGGTAGAGTGTTCTGCAGTTCTCAGTCGATTCAGCCAATCCTCGGTGCTTCCCACTTGATGGACGGCATCCTTGCTGCCTTTCCACCTGCTGTCTGGAGCTCTCCAATGCAACAGTGCATTCATCTGTCTGTCCTTGCCATGTGTCAGCTTTTGCTTTGTGTATTTGAGTGCTCTGCTGTTGGACGGATACACAGTGAAGATTGCTCTAACTCCTTGGGCAGTTGACACACGTCATTATGCAGTTGCCCCTCTTTATCCCTATCAGTCTTCCTTGTTCTAGAGTCTGCTGTGTCTGGAATTAATATAGCTACTGCAGCCTTCTTTGTTTGGTGTTAGTCCTTTACTTTTAACCTGTCATCATCTTTGTATTAAAAGTGGGTTTCTTGTAGATGCACACAGCTGGGGCTGTCCATCCTTTTGTTTTATCTTTGTGGCACTAGGGATTGAACCCAGGACCCTGTATGTGGTAGGCAAGTGCTTTCTCATTGAACTACAATTGCAGCCCAAGCTTTGTTTTAATTGGTATATTTTAATTGGCATATCTAAATATACCAATAAAAAACACAAAGAT